CGTTGTTTGTGGGGCTCGATAGCATTGTTTGTAAAGACGTTGCGATCAAGCCAATTCAAGACTGTGTGACGGATGGCCTTTGATCAGCTCGATTGGGATCTCCTACACTCGCGTCCAGCTACCATCATTCTACGCAGCCAGCAGAGCGAAACCAATGGCGATGGTTCACAACTATAATAGACCGAAGCTGCGTGGACAATGGAATGTTCACAGAAACATCCGTGGTAGGTCGAGTTGGCACATGCCAGCAGTTGGCACATGCCAGCAGCTGCTCGGCACCCATAGAAAACAAGTTGTTCGCCGCCTGGCTGAAGCTTGGTTGCATCCGTTGCGAATACAGTCGACCTGGGACATTCGACTGCAGCGGCGACGCGTAAACAGAAACGACCGTCTTGCGGGAAAATGCAGTTGGATGCCTTGTCGATTTCAGTGTCTTGCACGCCAGTCTATGAAAGAAACTAACAGGATGAGGCCCGAACAAGGGCATCGTTCGGATAGGACCCCATTACACGTGGCGTTACAGCATACGAATGCGACAACCGCAGCGTTCATGATAGCAAAAACTGAGGTGTTGTGCCCTCGCTGAGAGCCAGGATGCGAAAAGAGCTGTCAATGGACCGCCGATGCCATTATATTTGAGAAAATGCGGATCGGCGTTCCGTGTCCAATGAGGTGATGTCCTTGAACCACAAACAAACCACCTACTGGTATGCACTATAACGTTGTGCTTGCTGTTGTACGTTCCCGCGTTCCTCGCTTGCTTCTTCGCAGTGGTGTAGTTGGCCGCCTCGGAGAAACGCCCAGAGCTCAAGGCGCCATTCTTGACACAGGTAGGCTCATCGGTTGTACTCATCATCATTGGAGCGGTCTAGTGCAATCAACAATATCGGTTGTGCAGGCACATATCAGGTGATAGTCGTTGCACTGGGCTGGTGTATGCGTTTGTGATTCCGGCCTTCGCGGCACAGCTAAAAATTCCGCCACGCTGTGGTTGACGCGATGCAAAATGTGTACCAACGGGAAATCGAACTCGGGGCATCTAAATGGGAACTAGCTGTTTTGCCACCAAACCATTGGTGCACCGACCAACGACCGACGACTGCTGTGCCGCCTTGCCGTCAGCTTCCGACCCGTGCTCGACGAATGCTGCGCTGCTCTGTGTAGCGCCTGCGGCGCCTCTGTTGTCGACAGCTGCCAACCCGTGCCTGCGGGTTGCCAAACCTCCGCTGGAGGTCTCGCTCCTGCTCAAGTTCCCGTTCCACAATGGCGAGCTTGCTCATGGGGCAAAGGGCGTAATGCCTTCATTACTGCCATGGCCTCGGGTGAGGTGAGGCGGGTTGCTTAGTAGGCGTCTAGATCTAGAATGCTAGCTCTTCGACGGCTCGCAAGTTACGCCCCTTCGTGAAAAGGTCGTTTCGACTTGCTGCGCGCGCAAAACACCCATATGCAGCTCGCTTGCTGCCTCGCTTGCTGCCACTGCAGCCTGACCCACCGACCGTCGACCCTCCAAAGCACTCGGCGGTAGCACCAGCGCTGCTGCTGCGACCGTTCCGTGCGCCGCCCGTCACCGTACGCCGGCACGTGTAGACGTACCGCTTCAACTTCTCGCACCATCGCTACCCACGACCATCTCATGCACGACCTTCTAGATCCTAATGAACATCAGAAAATCCCCGAAAAAAGTGTTGCCGATGACAAGCTTGCTTGTCATCTTCTGGGTGAGTCTGCTTGCAGACAACATTAGAATTTCTACCGGTGAGCGAATGAAGAAGAAGGAGATTTCTAGTCTCTACGTATGCGAACTCTTTGTAGCAACTAAGATAGCGCGAAACACGTTAATATATATAGTACCGGTAATACACTCCCGATTGACACTAAACGATTGGTGCTTTTCATTACTTTCCATATGTTTATGGCAACAATAGATAAAATTGTAGTTACTATCTGACTTTCAGTACATAATTACACATATGCCCATGGCTGTCAAGCACATCTATTTTTGAGAGTGTATACGGCACTGTAGCACAAGAGTTGCGGATATTTACTAGTGTCGTATATTTCATAGTGTCGTTTGAGACTTGTGATCCGTGTTTCAAAAAATGCCACAAACCACTCTCTCCAATAATTTACCACATCCAATGAATTAAGTGGTTGTGGCATTTTTTTTAACACGAATTTATACATGCCTGTCTTGGAATGTGTCACGCGTATACTTTTGAATTTTGGTTAAAATCGTTTGACATTAATATCATTGCATTGTAAAATACAAAGATATAATTCTATAAATTGTACATATTGGTATAAATTTTCATCAAAGTATACAAAGCACCAATGGTTTAGTGGTAAAATATCTGGTTCCCATTCAGATGCCCCGGGTTCGATTCCCGGTTGGTGCAAATATTTTGCTCTCCAACCAACCATTCTTCTTGGTGATACCAAGGACAGTACTACACGGTACATTTCAACGACAGAAAAAGGGCTTGATGCATTTCGTATGGGCGACTGAGCTCATAAGCCGCGATTGATCGATTTTTAGAGGCCCCAGGAGACCACCCCTAATAATTAATATGAGGCCAGGATGCACTTTTGAAGGACGCTGGGGCACATAGAAATGCGCCGTCGAGGCCCGGAGCGCGAGCTCATCAGGGTTGGTGTGGTGCCACGTCACAAAGGCGGCCCGCGGCACCATGACAGCACGTAGGTCATTTCAAACGAAAGTGAGCGATAGCATACTGAATTATTCATGGGGTATAGCTAGTAGACTACTGCATTCGAGGATCGCTTTCTCAAAATACCGTTCTATTGTGCCCGTTCTTGAAATGGTTGGCCTTGTAGAACTTGTGCATTCATTGGCGTCGTTCGTGCGGTGAGCACGATTTGGGTGGTTGCAGAGAGGGCACGG